ATGGAGGCAACCGGTAGGGCCAATGAACAAGGAAAGTTGACCCCTAATTGGGAAGGCCCCTACCGGATTTTTGAAGAAGTTAGAGGCGGCACCTAGAGCCTAGAAACTCTAAATGGCAGGCAGCTAGCCAGAACCTGGAACATAGATAACTTGAAAAAGTACTACTTTTAAGGACTTGTAATTCTTTATAAAAAGAGTATATTAATAAAAATATGCTTTATTAATGTTTTATTGTACAAAGTCCCATCTGTGCAATGCACAACCGGGCATACGTCTGCTCTAAACTGAGCAGATATAAGCTAAGTATCAAACTTAGCAGCGATTTAAAAGGCCAATGGCCGGATAGTTTTCAAACCACCTGCTCTAACATGAACAGGCAACCGGCGACGCCCATTAGGGTGAATTCGTCGAAGAGAGCATCTCCCATTTGGATGGTACATTGTTCTATAAATCATAACTCAAGCGGCTTTAACCGACTGTCTAGGTTAAAGATAACTTACGGCCGTTTGAATAATAAATTGAAACCTAGATACAACCGGTCGTTGCTTCAAAGCAACACAAATGGTAACTGGTATCTTGGTAAAATATAACCAGTCTTTGCCCAAAGGCACTACAACCGGTTACAAACCCAAATTATGCAAGGTCAAAACCTTGGCAGTTAATTCATAACCCGGTTATAATGCATATGCCCGACCAATGGACGCCTGCATCCTAACAAACGGCGATTGCAGGTTTCCCAAAGGGTAACTCGTGGCTGGATTAACGAATAATCTAGGTTGACCCTAGTCGGCACCGTTTGATAATCCAACTTGGAATAATTCTTCTTTAAACACGGTCAATGACCGCCTGTCTATCCGTCCGGATGCTTGTTTGGACGGCTTCCTGCTTAGGGTTGGGCATTATCAAGCAAACAACTGTCCAAGGGCAGGTAAAGCCAATGTATCCGGCATACCGCATGTGCTGAGTCAAATTGCAAAAATAAAAAGATTTGTACGAGCATACTAGAAAAATTGCAAATATCAAAGGCAAAACCGACTCAGTCGGCAAATTATATTAATTAAACATCATTGTCAACCGAAACTACGTCCGGGGAAAAGAAGTACATGAAATACACGGCTCGTAGGCCGGAGATAAAAAGAAAAACAATCAAGTCACTGCTGCTGCTGGTGAGGCTGAGACGTCTGGCCCTGGTCGGAGGGAGGAGTGTCTTGAGTTTGCTGGGGTTGAGCTTTATCAGCCTCACCCGGCGCTCGTTCTTCCGCTTGCTCCTCTTCTTCCTCAACAATGCCAGCCCATTCCTCGAAGGGAGCCGACTTCTCAAGCCCAAGGGTTTGAGCGTCGTACACCTCGGTGGCGTACTTGTACCTCAGCTCGAAAAACTCCCATTCGGTGTCCGGGTGGATGAGGGTCCAGGCCATTTTCATGCGGGCCTCGCAGTTTCGCTCATTTTCAACAATGAGCCGGAAAAAGGTTAGTCTTTCAATTATTCTACAACCGTCAAAAGAGTAAAATTATACAAAAGCACCCCAACTGGCCAATTACCTCAGCGAGCAGTGAGTTGATGTGGTCAATGTTGACCTGGTGTACACCCGACACCGCCTCCTTTTCGGACCGGATGAGGGTCCTTAGCATCCTCTTGGCGTACTGTTGGAGGTCAGGCTAACGAGAAAAGGCATCTACATCAACATATTTATTTGTTAAGTATTGAGCATAGGCGGCACCTACATTCTGGCGGCTGCCTGAAGAATCCCCTGATTGGGTAGCTTTGGACTTGACTCGCATAGGCCTAAGCGGCCAGGGGGGATCAAGGGTGAGAGCCATACCTTAATTTTCAGGCTGAGGGGTCATCCCACCCCCAGCCGCATTGGAACCAGACGCTTTAGCAAGCAGCCGTCTTGAGGGAGTTTTAGGCTCCCTCGTCCCAACCTCAGCCGGTCTTGTTCTTAGGCCAAGGTCTTTCAGGCTCTTGCCTGCTGAGGTGGGCCTCTCAGGCACATGCAGCCTACCGGAAGAGGTAGGGGCAGCCGGAGTCCTCCTAGACTTGGAAGGAGGCTGGGAGGGCTCTTCGTCCGGTCTTTTCAGCATCTTGGTTAGGGAGCGAGGAACATTCTTGCTCCCCATCTGAAAAAGCAACAAAGCAACCGATTAATATCAGAATTAACATCAAACTATACAGCCGGTAATATCAGCCGGAGCTTACCCCATCATCCTTGCCCGCCAGTTGGGCCCTTTTCTTCTCTGACTGATCCTTCCGGATCTGAGCAGCCGATTTAGTGGGTGTCTTCTCTAGAGGCACCATCTCTAATCCTTTCTTTACAAAGAAGAAAATCAAAAAGTCAAAATGTCATTCAAGAATGATACAAGCCATAAGAGGAAAGGAACGCCTCGTCCTTTAGCCAGTCCGGATGAGGGACCCAGTTCTTAGGGACAATGACTTTAGTCCCATCATCCAAAGGCAGGGAGGTCTTCTTGAAGAGCCCCGTCTCTATTATTTGCATCCAGACCTCTTCCGGTACTCTAGGAAGGGCGCATTTCTTCCCAAGGAGAGCCGGGTGCGTATTGTAGTGACGCAGCCGGTGGTTTAGACGCAGCGATGGTGAAGAAACCAAGTAAAACTTACTCTTCCAACTGCTCCATTTTGACGGCTTGTCAAGCGTCATCATGTATTCCGGATGCGTGGTCAATGTATACCACGCATTCCAGCCGCCCGGGTCACGACTGAGGTAGTGCATATGTGAAAACGCCTCATAGCTAGGCATTATGTTCTGCATCTCGCAAGCGGCAATGTATCCTAATATATTCACCCAAGAATTTGGTGTTAACTGCTAAACGCCAAGGTTGTAGCCCCTTGGAATGGCTTTTATTGTATTATGGAGGGGTAACCGGAGGCCAGCTTTAAATGCCGCCTCATAGCAGCCGAAATAATCGTCGGTATGATCAAGGTCATCATCCCAGACGACGGTTACCTCTACAGGTGGCACAACAATTTCCCATCCTACCCCAACCGGGCGCTTCTGTAAAAATCCGGGTAAGGTGGCGTTTAGAGTGACTATATCCCTGGCGGTCATGTGCGACTCTGTTGGATTATTGATGGAGGGCCATTTATATGCCTCCTCATCCTCTTGGGGGGCATCCGGTTCCATGGTAGACTCTGAAGAGTCTGATTGCTGGACAGTCTCTTCACCGCCTGCACCCTCGGACTCTTCCAAGATATCATCACTGGGCGTGCTAGGTACACCCGAATGGTCGTAATGTACAATGTCAACCGGAGCTTCGGCTGAGACGTCTGACTAGTATTCGGGGTCTACGGTCGTTCGTCTCGTCTGAGCCATTCTGTCCTACACATGAACAGAGACGGTCGGATTCGCAGAAGAGTAAGGGTGGTCTAAACACCCCCAGACGGCATCCCCAGTCCTAGACTCAGCCGTATTCGGTGATCGGCTGAAAACTGTCCTAGGCCGTGCCGTGTGTGTGTTGGGTGAGTCCATTATTCTTTACAAGCTATACAACCGGAAAAACTCAAAAAAGTTGCAAGGGGTAGAGACGGTACCTTGAAGATGTTTTGAGTATGGAGAAAGTAGGCTATCCAAATCAGCAGCCGGAAATCTCTGTGTTGCTTGCTAGATACCCAGACGGTTATCTGGATGTACCCTCTTGAAGAGCAATTGAAGATTGTTTAACAACCCAGCCGTTCCTCAGAAGCTTTGTTTAAAGATACCCCAGACGGTCAACCGGCTGTGGGTGTATTGAAAGCAATTGGAATCAATCAAAGGACCCCAGGCAGTTTTAATGTGTTTTGGGTGATGAGCACTCAGACGGTGACCGGTTGAGTAAGGAAAAGGAAGACGGTTGCGCAAGAACTAGCAGTCGATATCAGAGCTCTCTTTCTCAGAAAATTCTGTCAATAAAAATTTGCAAAGTGTGAAAATGAGAGGAGGGGGTCTCTACTTATAAAGAACCCCCAAAAGCGAACCGTCACCTTCCCAGTTCGAATTCAAAAAAAAAAAAGAAGAGAAGAAGAGAGAGAAGGAGACGAAACGTCACTTTCTCAGAGCATGACACCTGTCACAGGTGCCACGTGGCAAGCCACGTCACACCTGTGAGGGGAAAATGTTTAGGGTAAAAATACCCTGTCCACGTGGCCCAATCACGTGCTGACACGTGTCAGCATCAAGGGGTCATGAGAGAACCAATCCTCTGGCAACACGTGGCACTCTAACCTATGAAAGGGGAACTGATCCCCTCTCGCTATAAATAGAGGAAAATCCTCATTTATTGCACATCCAAAAATACACACAAAAAACCCGAGCAATATTAATTGCAGAATTTTCTCGGAATCCGAGAGGAAAAACCTTTATATTCCGCACTTTTATACATCCGGACACGTTCTAACTTGATCGTCGGAGGCGGAATTCCACCCAACCGGAGTTTCCGTGGTTTTGCAGGTACAGACGGTCAACGCTCATTCTTGGAATTGTACTCTCCCGAGGGACTCCAAAAACCCAGAAACAAGACTCGTGTAGATTTATTGAAACCTAAAATGTAATGCTATAGGAAAAAAAAAGATTAAAAATTAGACTTTTTCCGGCCTAAACGACCAAAATATTATAAACCCTAAAAGAGAAGAGGAGAGAGGAGAGAGTTTCATGTTTGTGATTTATATATAAGAATAAATTTATGTATTTGTTGGAATCCTCCCAATAAATAGTTTATTAATATTTAATTGTTATACTCCGTAATTTTTACTTATTTATTTTTAATTAAAGAAATTACCAGTTAATTAATGCATTGGCATACGTGTAAAAGGAAACGTTTCATTTATTCATAGAGGGGTAAGGTTGTTATTTCCATTGTTTAAGTTGAGGGCAGCTTTATAATTTCATCTTTTTCTTCTTCCATCCTCCATTCTCCATCACAGCCAAACCACTTTCTTCCTCCACGAGCCACACAAATGCCACCACCACCAACGCCTGTTGCGGTTGAAAATATCGTCACGAGGTAGATGGTTTCCCTAAGGGTTAGTACGACCCTATTTTACACTCTTTGCTACTAGGGTGTCTTTTTGTTACCGCCGCAAAGCAACATTGGAGCCGTTGTTGAGGAAGGAAAAACAAGAAGAGGAAGACGAGAAGAAGAGGACATGCCTTTGTGGTTTATCGGCGCAAAGACGGAGAGATGGTGGTGGTTATGATGGTTTTTGGAGAGGAACAGGGGGCTATGATGGTGGTGGCGACTGAGACAAAGACGGGAAGACGAAGATGGTGGTGGTGGCTGAGACTAACACGGGGAAACGGAGATGGTGGTGGTGAGGACTTTGTGGTTGATCGGCGGGGAATACAAGGGGATAGTGGTGGTGGATGCCATTGTTAGATCTGAGCTTCTTTATTCAATTTTTTTTTTGTTTTTTTATATATAATATTACAAGGAGGTCACTTGATGCACATTTTATGTATATCAGGCTGAGCAACTGGGGCCTCCTTAAATGGAAGGGTAAATTTGTACAAAAAAGTACTTTTAGATAAAACTATTAACACAATTAGGGCATGTCAACTTAGGTAATTGGGGTAGGTTTAGTGAGGTAAGGTCTATTTCAAATTTAAGTCATGCAAAATATTGTATACATGTAAGTTAAAATTTGAATCGGTTTTTTTAGGGTCGGGTTGGATCGGGACATCGTCTCTTTTTTACAAAATGGTTTAAACCTAAACCTTGTGCTTGTTTAAGAACATTTTGATTTTCATACCCAAACCCATAATGGGCGTTTGGTTCACAAAGTGGTATGAGTTTGAAATTAGGAATGAAATTAGGGTGTTATGGGGTTGAAACTTAATTGGTTCTTAATACATTGTGTTTGGTTGTTGCTCGGGAATGAATTTTTTCTTTTTATTTGATACCTAAAAGTGTGATTTGAGCCATACCCACCTTCCCTTGGGTTTCTATACTCCATACCTTGTGGGTTTGAGGTATAGGTTTATAAATTAAATTTTTTAAAACAAATGTGAGGTACCTCATACCTAAAACCTATAAACCAAACATCGTAAAGTATGAGCTTTAGAAATCCAATGGAGGAGGTGAGTATGGCTCGTACAAAACCTCAATATATCAAAAAAAAACATTCTCAAACAACAACTAAATACAAGGTATTACCGTGTTAACAATCAAGTTCCAATGTCGAATAATAGTGCGAGTGATTTATTTACAATTTTGTGACCATAAAATTGCAAAAACCATTAACTTTTTTAATTTTTAATTAGTGAACAGTAGTGCTACAAACGCCCAGCCCCTAAACTATACGTCTAAACCCAAGAAACAAATAAAATTTGGCCAGAATTTAAACCCTCGAATTTTTCTCTCTTCATTCTCCACTAATCCAAAAATATCCACAAACTATCCTTCAAATTTCTACGAATTTCAACGACGGCTTGAAATTGCTCCTTTTATTTTCGTCAATTTGATCTCTAATACAACCCCATTCATGCTTACGTCTCCAATGATCGACCTGTCCTTCATCATTTTGCAAAATTAGGTAATTTATATTCTGATTCATCTTTTGTCTAATTTTATTTAACTTGAACTACAAATTATCTAATTTAATTGAATTGGGTGATTAACTTGGTCAGCCGAGTGATAATAATAATAATTTCTTTTAATTTTAGCTGGAATTAAATTAATCGAAAACTTGAATTTTGCTTCAATTTGAATTTGTAGTATATAGGTAAACGTATTCATAAGGTTAGTGCGCTAATTGTGCAATTTATTTAGCGTCATGAATTAAGCCAAGATTTTGCTGTAATTTATTTTAAGTATTTTTTTTATATAAAAAAATTTAGGATTTGAATTGTTTGCTTCATATATTGCTATGAAAGAACATCTAGGGAACGATCGAGTTGTGTTTGGAATTTCGTTGATGTTACATTTCTCATTTTGATATGCAAAATTGTGGATTCGACTTCAGACATTCAACATGATCAGCAAGGAACCTGTATTAAAATATTACACAGAGAAGTTATAAACGAAAAAAGTTGGTGTTGGAAACAATGGTATACTGTTATAAGTAGAGGTTATAGTGAGTGATTTCTCGGCTGTATAAACGAATGACTAGAAATAAACGAATTGCTTCTACCTTTTAAGTTCGGAATTCGGATCTTAGTTGTGTTAGCGTGCTTGTGATATTCTTGAGGAAGATAACTTGGACAAACTTGTAGGATCTTTTTGTGGTGGGCTTAAGATCTTGAGGTTTGGGTGTAAGGGGTAAATTAGTCAATTGAACTCAGTAAAGGAGCCTATAGTATTAATGGTTGGAAATTACGGAGTAATAAAGAGTTGCTCTAGAATTAGCTTCAACTACTTTGCTACTAGAAATTACAAATAACACGTAATTATTAAATTTTCTTGCGTTGGCATTATGTTTTGAGCTATCTACTTCAGAGTTGTAATCTTATTCATATTCAAAACTCAAAAGGAATTTTTTTGAGACTTGTATTGGTACAAATCATACAATGCACCGTCATAAAAGTGTTTCAAATTTGGATTAAACAATGTACTCCGTAATTTCTTTAGCTCTTATTTTGATCTACTTTTGCTCTGATTGTTCTTGACTTGAAGGATTTGTTTGCATGGCTATCCTTTGAGCTAATGCATGAATATAACATGATATGTTGATTATTACATGTTGTAGGATTTCATTGAGCATGGTGAATACAACTCTATGTATGACATACCCTCAAACTATGAATCTAAAAGTCTATGTCCAGGATTAAATGGAAAATACTTCTCCTCTTGAAATTATGACCTTTATATAGATTCAGCAACTAGTATATATCCCAAATACCAGTTAAACACTATACTTTAATACTTTATACTCCCTCCGTATTTTATTACTTGCTTCACTTTCCTTTTGCGGCCGTAATTTATTATTTGGGAAATTTTGTTAATTACTACCTAAAAAACAGAGGTTTTGTGAATTACTACCCCTAAAAAAAAAAGTTTTTAATTACTACCCCTAAAACCGATTAATTCAAGTGATTGCTACCCTTTTCCCTAATCAACCCCTAATTAGGTGATTTAAGCTCTTAATGACATCATTGTCTAGCAAAATTATAATTAGTTGTTTTTAAGCCACGATTAATTAAATAAACCCTAACACCACCTCTAAACCACCACTGCACCACCTCTGACAGCCCCCTTACCCCATCCCCACCATCTCCGGCTGCCCCTTACCCAATCATCCCCTTGCCGGCGAGCTGATAAGCAGCCTACCCCCAACCCCACTCCTTGCCCTCCTTTTTCCCTTCTTGCTACCCCGACCCCCACCCCGAACCGGAAACCACCCCCTCCCCATTCCCCCACCGGAATGCGCCGCTGCTGCTGCTCCTCCCTTCGAACAAGTCGCCCCACTCCCCAGCACCAAAAACCGGCGCCTCTAACCCTAAACCACCAGCCCGAAACCACCCTAAACGAGATTTAGGGTTTCGTTTATGGTGGTGATGGGCTGGTGTTTAAGGGTAAGGGGTGGCTGTTTTGGGTGGGGGACGGGGAGGGGGGTCGATTCAGGGTGGGGGATGGGGAGGGGGGCCGATTCCGGTTGAAGGGATGGGGAGGGAGGGTTGTTTTCCTGTTTTGGGGTGGGGGTTGGCAGCGAGAAGGGGATAAGGGAGGGGGGTGGGCTGCGTAGGTGGAGGAAAGGGAGGGGGATTGGAGTCACCGGCGTCGGGCGACGCTTTGGGCGCCGGCGGGGGGGAGGGGGGAGGGTGGCTGACGGGTGGGGCTGGCAATTGTGGGTGGAGGGTGGGCGGTGGTGGTGCAATGGTGGTGTGGAGGTGGTTCTAGGGTTTAATTAGTTAATTACGGTTTAAAAAAGTAACTGATTACAAATTGGCCGGATAATGATATTTTTAAAGAGCTTAAATCGTCTGATTAGGGAAAAGGGTAGCAATCACTTGAATTAATCGGTTTTAGGGGTAGTAATTAAAAACTTTTTTTTTTAGGGGCAGTAATTCACAAAGCCTCTGTTTTTGAGGTAGTAATTAACATAATTTCCTTATTACTTGCTCCATTTCCTATTTTGGAAACTTTTAACAGTATTTTACTATTTTCCTCCTCACTAGTGGTCCCCTCATATCATATTTAATATTTTTCATATTCACTCTCCTCCCCCACTTATACTCACTTTTGTTTTCTTCAACCAACCCCACTTCCATCATAATATAATAATTTCTACTATTCCTCCTTAAACTCCGTGTCTGGACAAATGAAGCAAATAATAACATAGAGGGAGTATCTTAGAATTGTGTTAGCTGTTCGAGATTGGAAGTCTGGCAAACTGGTAGCATCCTCTATCACTGGACTCAATTTTCTTACTGTTCCTTTTGCACCTAGTGAAACCAACTAAAGAAGAGTTAGAAGACTGCTTAACTTGAACTGTCCCTTTGAGGCTTTGAAGATGATCACACTAGTTAAATAGACTTAATTGTGCAACTGTGGGTCTGTGGCAACCTGATTGTTGACTACTATCTATTGGCTATTGTAGTTTGAGTTCTTGCACTTCTGTCAGCATGCTATATCATGGTAGGTAATACATTGTGGTTTGAGTGGAGTTGTTCACTGATGAAAATGCTTAACTCTGAACTCTGTTTAAGTGACTGAGAGAATAGCTTAATGTTCCCATTCATTAATTCTCTTACCACTAAACATTTGAACTACTTTAACATATACAGAGAACATGTACGTTACCTTCTGTACTTTTATATTATTCTAATTATTTGTTTATTTATTATTGGCAAGTCTTAAAAAAAAACAATGGAAAAGAAGGCCCAAAAGAAAATGCTTATAGAGAGGAAAATACAACAGCCCAAGGAAATTGAACCATCACAAGGTATTGTATAATTTTAAAACTTCTAAATCATTTGATAATGTTGATCAATATGTTCAATTTTTCTTATTATTCTTTAGCGTCTAGCTTATGTTGATCTTTAGAAGACATGCTAATTCGGTTGTACACTTGAGAGAAGTGGCATGTATCTGAAAGATAATTATGCTATCATAAGTAATACTTCGTATGTACTTTATGAGTAATTACATAGATATGGAAGGTAGGTGTGAAAAGAATTTCATTATTTCATTTCCATAATTGGGCAGTTTTTAGTCTTTCTACTAATAAACTTGTTTACTTATATGTAAATTAACAACGCATTACCACTTGAAGAACGAGGAAGTGAGGGACCCCCATCTCCAGATTCCAACTGAGGTTGTAGTTGGTTGCATATTTACCGAACTCAGAACTAGTTGTACTTTCTGGTCAGGCAAAGGCCAGCTTGTGCTATAAGTTGCCATTTTGATAGCATGTCATACCCTTCAACTTTAGCATTGTGAAAATGGTGAACGTTAATATAACCATTTTCTGAGCTATGCAGCAAAACGGGGAAAAAAAAAACGATTTGATTATAAAACCAAATATTAGCCATCAATTACTACCTCCATTCCTTTTTTTTTTTTATTTTTTATTATAAATTATGCTTTCTATTTTTGTCTGTTCCTTATTGGTTGCATTTTTCTTTTATTCTATTTTGACATTCTTTTCTACCCAAATCCTACTTACATCACTCCCTCTTTTGCTTTATCAACAATAACAACAGCAACAACAACAAAGCCTTAGTCCCAAAATCACTCTATCTTACAAAAAAAAAAAAAATCACTCGCAAGAGTCATAACACCCTCATATCTAATTTTTTCTTATACATAATCCCCTTTAACACTTGAGGTAACTGTAGCTTTCCTTATGGATTAGAGGTAGTATGTGAGTATGATTTTGAAAATCAATAATCTTGTTGCAGGTGAAACTTCTTTTAGTTGTGAAATCAAGCCGAGTCATATGGGAGAATATGAAACTCATGAAAGAGATCCTACCATAATCAATGATCAACAATCATGTGATGGCAATGACAATGGTAAGAATTAAATTTCAAGCTCTTATTTGTCCCATTTTACTATGCTTATGACAACTTGTATAAATATATCTCTAAGGTCAAGTATGCTTATTGAAGATTTATAATTTCTCCTTTTTTACTCCTACATTTTAGAATCACTCATTAGGAGCTGCATAATTTGACTCTAATTTTGCAATCAATTGTGTCATTGCAGGCGAAACATCTTTTAGTTATGATGATACCTAGCTGTGTCTGATTGGAGAAGATGAAAGAGATTCTACGACATTAAATAATCAACATTCACCTAATGCTAATGACAATGGTAAGGATAAATTTCAAGCCCTTATCTTAGAACTTTTTGCAACACTTGTGTCATTTTATGAACTTTATTCCCTTTTAATTATGCAAATTCCATGCCACCTTTTAGTAAATATACTTCCACCTCCCTATTACTTTTTGCATGGAGATTATAGAGAGTGAATTAAGTAGAGGAAAAAAAATAGTAGATGGGTGGCTTATTGATTGTGGTCCCAAGGAAATAGTGGATTCGTGGTTTAACTTTAGATATATAATATAATTTGTATCTATGTTACATTTTGTACAAGACATGTCTTTGAGAAAATTTTACTCCCTTTATACCAATATTTTCTAGGCACATGGTTCCAAGAGAGGAATTGCAATGGAGCATTGTTGAATAAAAAGGAAAGTAGTGGGAATGTTTTATTGTTTTTAGTGGAAGCGAGCTCCAAACAAAATTGTCTGCACGTATACCTTAGTTATGGACGAATTGACGAGTTCAATTTAAGATGATGGTGTGTGATCTTTGCAGATGATATGAGGTGAAAAAAGACATGGAAAGTAAATTGGAATTGTGGAGACAAACACTGAAATCCTAAGGCTTTAAACCGAGCAAGTAAGAGAGAATATTTAGAATGTAAGTTTAGTGTAGTTAACATGGATGCAGGGACGATCTCATTGGATAGGAGAATCTTCCAAAAGGATGGCAATTAGATGGAGGTGTTGTTCATAGAATTAAAGCAGGTTGGTTAAAGTGGAAGAGTGTTACGGGGTTTTTATGTGATATTGATCCTGACATGCCCAATTTTGAAGGGAAAATTCTACCGCACAACTATTAGGCTTGCATTATTATATGGTACCGTTGGGTGTGAAGCACTGTGACATTCATAAGGTGAATGTGGCCAGGATACGTATGTTCGATTGAGGATTAAGATAATAAGATAGTAAGTGAGGGTTACATCTATTGAAAATAAGATGAGGGAGCATTGCCTAAGGTGGTTTAGTAACTGCTAAAGAGGCTTGAAGAGTGGCAAATTGATGGGATCGTGAGGGGCCGGGAAGACCTAAAAAATTTGAAGGAGAGTGATTAAAAGTGATATGAGCCTTTGGGGGGTTGAGGAAAATATGGCGTTGGATAAGGTGTAATGGATGGAGAAAATCTACGCCGAGGACATGTCATGACTTTAAATTTATATGCTTTTTTTACTTTTACCTAAAATCATTGTATTTTGCAAACTTTATTTATTTTCCCATTTTAAGGTTTTTTTTTGAACATTATTTGCTTGATTTTCCTTTCTTTTATTTTGTGATGACTCATAATTGGGCCAACCCATTAAGGTTTACACCCGTAGGCCCAAGGTGGGTTAAATTCACAAAGTGGGTCAACAAAACAAATTCAACGGTAAAGTGACGGAAACAGGGGAAGCACGGACAGAAGGGGAGGAACAAGGGAAGCAATAGCTTTTGTCAAAGAAGCCAATTTAGGAAAGAAGACAAGCAAGAAAAAGAGAAGTCACCACTTTAGAAACCATGGCTGGATGATTGTTGCTCCCAAGTATTAGAGTCAACCTTAATTAGTTTTAGGGCATGTTAGTAGCTTGAGTATATAAAGCACATTATGTATTGTTAGCCATCTATCGAAATTGAGTGAACTTCATTAGAGATTAGTAGCCTAAAGCTACCTTGAGATTGATAGCCTAAAGCTATTATTTACCCTTGCCTTAATCCTGTGTTTAAGTGAGCGTAATTGTTGTGCGAAGGTCGGGTTCTGACAACTTGGTATTAGAGCAGCTACTGTCATGGTGTCCAACACCACGCAACGTCTCGAAGCAGCGGAGGAAGGACTGGATGGGTTGGGAAATCAAATTTCCGCCTTTGATAACCAACTTTCCACCATTAATGGAAAACTGAACTCGCAGGAAGACTCCCTGACGCGAGTGGTGGCAGCGGCGGTGAAGGCGGCCATGGAGGAGTGTAAGCAGGTGGAGGCAATGTTAGGGGACCACACCACCAAACTTGACGTGCGTTTGGACCGGTTTCGTGTCGATCTCGACACGCAGGCCGCCATTGGTCGGAGGAAAATAGAGAAGTTGCAGGAGGAGTGGAGGAGATGAAGGCGGCGAAGGGGAATCCTCAACCGCAGCAACCCCGGTGATTCAGTTGGAAGCGGAGAGGCCCCATCGGCCACATGCGGAAGAAATGCGAACCCCTAGGGAGGCAAGTTTTGGCATGCCGGAGTGGAGGCAGAGGGACCCACGGGGATGGAATGACGACGGTGGCGTAGCGAGGGTCGATGGAAGCACAAGAAGCTTAATATGCCGGTGTTTGAAGGGAAGGATTCGATCAATTGGATCATGAGGGCCAAAATGTATTTCGACTTCTATCGAGTCATCGCCTTGGTGGTGGCGATGGACGGTCCAACCTTGTAGTGTTACCATTGGGAGAATCAACGCCGACCGTTCGCCAATTGGACGGACTTGCGCTGCCGTGTTTTGAAGGAGTTCCGACCCACCAACTTCGGAACCCTTCGGGAACAATGGTGGCCGTAACGCAGATGGCAACCGTGGAAGAGTATAGGCGATAATTCATCGAATTGGCTTTCCGTCTTGAGGATATACCGGAGGAGATAATGAGAGGCCAATTCATAAATGGCCTAAAAGAAGAAATCAACTGAGCTTAAGCTGTTGGATCCGGCCACCCTAGAATGGGCCATGGACTTGGCCGGAAAAATAGAGGAGAGAAATTGGGTTAGCAAGGGAAAGGGGAGTGTTGGCCCATGGCGAAGTGGGCTGAACTTAGCCGGCCCAAGTACTGGAGGGATAAGTAGTAAGGGCGGAGGTGGGCTGATATCCACTTATGGCTTGCCTACTAATGCGGGCCACACAGAATTTAGCCCAAGATGAGTGAATCTCAAGGGTCAGTCAACTTAAATAGGCCCAACACAAGTCAAGCTTCTAAGTCAGTGAGTTAACCTAGAAGACTCACCGAAGCTGAATTGCAAGATCGAAGAGCCAAGGGGCTATGTTTTCGTTATGATGAGCGTTGGGCAATCAGACATCGGTGCAAAAGGAAGGAACTTAGTGTGTTTATGGTGGCTGAAGGTCCGGAAGAGGAGGAGGAGAGCGGTAGTAATGAAGAAGAAGAAGAAGCGGTGGAGGTATCATTCTGCTCCGTTGTGGGTTTAACTAACCCAAAAACCATGAAGCTCAAGGGTCTTGTTCAAGAAAGAGAGGTGATAGTCATGATAGACCCGAGAGCTACACACAATTTCATGTCTCTTCGAGTGGTTAAGGAAGCGAAGGTGCCTTTAGAGAAGGGTGGCGAGTTTGAGGTGTTTTTGGGGAATGGGGAGACCGTAAGGGGAAATGGTGTGTGTAGGGGAGTAAAGATAAAGTTGAGTGGGGGAGTGACATTAGTTGAGGACTTTTTACCCTTGGGTTTGGGTAACGCCGATGTTATCCTTGGTGTGCAATGGCTTGAGAAATTAGGAGCGGTGATAACAAATTGGAAGACTCATGTCATGAGCTTTAGTAATGCGGGTGTGCCGATTACACTAGTAGAGGACCCATCTCTTGAAAAGACACAAGTGTCCCTTAAGGCGATGATCCGAACCCTTTGTAAAAATAGAGGGGGTGTGCTTGTGGAGATAAACCGTGTGGAAGAGGAGGGGAAGCTGAGAGAGGTAAGTGTAGTGTCGGAGTTCCTAACAGAGGTGATTGGAGAGTATAAGGGGGTGTTTGACATGTCCGCCGGTTTGCCTCCGAGTCGGGGCCATGAGCATGCTATCACTCTTAAAGGAGGGAGCAACCCAGTGAGTGTGGGCTTTATCGGTACCCACAAGCTTAAAAAGATGAGATTGAAAAGCTCATCAAAGAAATGATGGATGCCGGAATTATTAGACCTACTAGCCCCTTTAGTAGTCTGGTTTTGCTTGCGAAGAAAAAGGACGGTTCTTGGCGGTTTTGCGTCGATTACCGGGCTCTCAACAAGGAAACGATGCCGGATAAGTATCCTATTCCGGTGATTGATGAACTCCTTGATGAGCTCCATGGAGCGGTGATTTTCTCTAAGTTAGACTTAAAAGTCTGGCTACCATCAAATTCACCCGAAGATACTCACAAGACGACTTTTAGGACTCATGAGGGCCATTACGAATTCCTTGTAATGCCCTTACTAATGCGCCGGCAACATTCCAATCCTTACTAATGCGCCGGCAACATGCCTAGCTATAATGAGGTGGAAGCACTATCTCCTTGGAAGGCACTTTGTTGTGAGAACCGATCAACAAAGTCTCCGGTATATTACTTAACAACGTGAGGTGGGTGGAGAGTATCAAAAGTGGGTGAGAAAATTAGTGGGGTTTGATTTTGAGGTGCAATACACGCGGGGAGCATCAAAGGAAGGAATTAGGAGAGGAGATTGAGTATGATGGGTGGAGAAGGGAGAAGAAAGCCCAGTAGGCTTCCACTTAGAAGGCCAAAGGTAAAGAGGGAGTAGTTTTGCCTAAGTCATCCAAGTTTATTCAGACCCTGCTCCATGAATACCACGACACTCTAACCGGCGGCCATGACGGAGAGGTCAAAACTTACCTCCGACTGGTTTTGGGTCGGAATGCGACGCACAGTGGGTGATTATGTACGGAGGTGTGATGTTTGCCAACGGAATAAGGCGGTTCAGAGAAGCCCTCTCGGGTTGTTACAACCCTTACCAATTACGATGGCCATTTGGGAAGACATTTCCATGGATTTCGTGGAGGGGTTGCCGGTGTCCAAGGGGATTGACTTGGTGCTAATCGTGGTGGATCGATTGTCAAAATATAGCCACTTCATTAGGCTGAAGCACCCATTCAACGCCCTCAAGGTGGCTGATTATTTCGTCTGAGAAGTGGTGTGATTGCACGGATTTCCCTCCACCATCGTCTCTAACTGGGATCGGGTTTTTATGAGTATTTTCTAGTAAGAACTCTTTCGGCTACAAGGAACCTACCTAAAAAGGAGTACGGTGTATCACCCACAGTTCGATGGC